GCAGTCAGTGTATTTCCCGAAATGGAACCGCTACGCAGCGATAGTAGCTGCGACGGCGACGAATTCCGTCATCCAGTAGCTCTCACCTATCCAATAACGATATAACACGCGAATTGCTGACTGTGTGTACAGTATCATCAACGTCGGCTGGCTATCAGTCAACTGCACCAACCCGCAGCAACGAAGCATTGCCATGGCGTGAGTAGTATCCCTCAACCACATTCCCCGAACACGCTAATCTAATATGCTATGCTGCAGCATGATCATCATGGCCGCCAACGCAGCCGGCATCGCCGGAGGCCAAGTCTTCCGCACGCAGGACGCGCCGCTGTACATCCACGCCTTCACAGCCATGCTGTCCCTGTCGGCGGTGTGTCTGGTGACGGTCGTCGCGCAGATGGCGTGGTATTTCTTCAGCAATCGGCGGATGGCGAAGACGGGGACGGCGCCAGTCATTCAGGGGCGGTCCGCGGAGGGGGCGGAGATTACGCAGAGGTGGTGGTGGACGTGGTAGCTGAAGCTTGCCTAGCGAGCTTTTTTTTGTTCTTGGTGAATATGATGGGAATAGTGGGTAATTTCATGGGTTGTTTATCTGTATCTCGAATGTGATGATAAAGATGAATATATAGAATATGGAATTGGTTGGATATAGAGGTCCGAGATCCCTTGACACAGGATAACAGGATAGAATCAGAGACTCATAGTTATAACTATAAAAAGGTGTCCAGAATCCAGAATTGAATTTAATAAATAATGCACTCAGTCATTGACATGATCTGAGCCAGCCTTTTTTTTTTGTTAAAAAGAAATAATAAAAAGAGAAAAAAAGAAGGTTAAATAAGTAATAGAATAGGTACTCACTCAATTCAATTCCTAGGAGTATGCAGTAAGTTCCATCCATCCATCTGTTCTCTCTCTATCTATTTAATCATTATTCATAATTCCACTCGCCCTGCTTCCATGATTCTCCTGCGGGGTAAAAAGCATACATGTAGTTTGGTCCACCCTTACCTACTCCGTATGTAAAGTTAGTGGAGCAAGGAAGGTTACATACTCCATACTCCATACTCTCCATATGGAGTACAGTACAGTACAATACATTTCAACCCCGCAGATCAGCGATCAGTCAGCGTCCGTGCTCATCATATGTCATACTCTGTATGACTATGTCAGTCATGTCATAAGACGATTGTGACAATTTTTGCTATTCTTGGAGGCTTCTTGAAACGAGGGGATCTTGTGGATCTGCGGGGATTTACGTACGGTCCGAGTCGGACCGGTTTTGTATGGTGGTAGTGGGGATTTCAAAAAAGAAAGTTAAAATTAAAAATTAAAAGATGATTTACGTTCTTGTCCTTTCTGTTTTAATTTTTACTTTCATCGACGATTGATTGCCTCCCTCCCCTTCTCTCTCGTTTTCCTGTCGTAATATCTTTGTAGCTACGTCGTGAGAGACATTTTATAATGCTCTAGTTTATATTCCAGGAAGATTGTTACCATGAGCGTTTGTATCTTTCTATCGAAGATATTATCTGATCCAAGTACTAGAAGTATTTAATCGAAACTGTTCATATAATCACGATTGAAGGTTAGGCTTTGGTGAGCAGAGATGCGCTTAAAAAAGTATTCTGAAAATTTACGTTTCCCTTAAGTTAGGAAACATTATTTCCTGGAAAGAAAACATAGCAGTGAGGAATTTTTTTTTATTATGATTGCTCGCTGTTTGAGAACTGCTACCTATTACATGTTACTTCATAATATTACTGACACTGATCACAAGAGTATACCTACATTATGCCCGAGTAGCAACTGCGTCTGCCAGCTTACCAGCTTGCCAGCTTGCTACGTCTGTCTGTCTGTACATCTTACTCAAATCATCAAATAATCAAATCAAATAGAATAGAATAGAAAAACACAGTCTGATTTCCTGCATGAACGACATCACTATTGGTATTCTTTCTCTTCTCCTGTAATCTGGAGGAGGGAGATGTTCTGTTTTGTTTCACGATCCTCGGTCCGATCATCCGGCTGTCGATCCATAGTACTATGTATTGTATTGTACTGTACTGCACTTACTATACTGCAGCTCTCTGCAAATACACCCATGTATTTTACACTGCGCCCTTTCTTTTTTTTTTTAAAAAAAAGGCTATACCGTCATACGCGCATCAGCGGTTTCCAGCAGGACGATTTCTCTCGTATAAAATAGACGAACAATAAAAAATGTTGTCTGTCTCATCTCAGCTTTGTCTCGTCTCGTCTCGTGGAGAACAAGCAGGCAGTGATTGATTCAAATCCATAGGCATATCGAGTCAGCATCTTGCATCTTGCCTTCTTGCTCGTATTAATTAAGGTGACCATGACTCGGATTACAATACTGCAAATCCTATTGGACGATGGCAGATCTGCCCTGCATGTGTTAGTCAGCCGTCGATCCGCTAGCCGTATTGGGAAATCGGTAGAATGATAGGTCTGCCTCCATATTGACAACTGACTCGTGTTGCTCTCGACAAGGCAGTTCTGTCAACAACAAGAATGATAAGATGAACAAGAGGAGGAGGAAGAGGAGGAGGAGGAGGAGGAGTATGAGCGATCAATCTTACTGTCTGTCGACTGCACGACTGACATGACACTGCTTCCGCTCCGTCTGGGGAAGCCGTCTGGGGAAAAAACTGAAAAGCGGGGGCACAACGCCGTAGCCGAGCATAACCAACGTCGGCGCCGAATGTCGGCAACCCTGTCGAAACCCTGACCACTCCAGACGGCCGCTGCCAGCACCGCGCTTCCTGCGCCATTCCCGACTCTTGTCGCCGATGCCTGCCTGTCTGCCGAGCTTTATGGTGTGCGTCCCCGGGGCCCTTGCACATAAAGGCATGACTGACCTGATGAAAGATTCGACGCGCATCAGCTTGTTCAATTGCTTCAGAAGAGGATTGTTACGTTGTGTTTTCCATTGAATGAGTTGAATTGATCGTTTGATACAAATCCACTAGCCATGGTGCTGGTTTCCAATGTGCCTGTCTCTGTCAACCTCCTCCTCTCGCCCTACACGGCCGTCGCCCTGCTAGTGCTGTACTATCTCGTCCCCTACCTGGCCAAATGGCGCTGGCACGACATCCCCGCCCCCTTCCCGGCCGCCTGGTCGAATTTCTGGCTGTTCTATCAATGCCGTCGGGGCCGTCGATACCAGGCTGTTCATGACGCCCACAAGAAGTACGGCAAGTTCGTCCGTCTCCAGCCGAACCACGTCTCCATTGCCGATGATGCTGCCATCCAGGCCATCTACGGCCATGGCAACGGCTTCCTGAAGTCGTGAGTATCCCTCCCCCTTCCCCTGGGGTGTCGACTGACATCGCAGTGACTACTACGACGCCTTCGTGTCCATCCGCCGCGGGCTGTTCAACACCCGGGACCGCGCGGAGCACACGCGCAAGCGCAAGGCCGTGTCGCACACCTTCAGCGCCAAGTCGGTCGGGCAGTTCGAGCAGTACATCCACGCCAACATCGAGCTGTTCGTCAAGCAGTGGTGCAGCATCTGCGAGCGCCAGACCAACCCGGCCACCGGCTTCGCCTCCATCGACGCCCTCCACTGGTTCAACTACCTGGCCTTCGACATCATCGGCGACCTGGCCTTCGGCGCCCCTTTCGGCATGCTCGCCAAGGGCAAGGACTACGCCGAGGTGCGCGAGACGCCCGACTCGCCGCCCACGTACGCGCCCGCCATCGAGGTGCTCAACCGCCGCGGCGAGGTCTCCGCCACGCTGGGCTGCTACCCGGCGCTGATGAAGTTTGCGCCGTACCTGCCGGACCGGTTCTTCCGCGACGGGCTTAAGGCCGTGAACAACCTGGCGGGGATCGCCATCGCGCGGGTGAAAGAGCGGCTGCGTCCCGAGGTCATGGCCAACAACACGCGCGTGGACCTGCTGGCCCGGCTGATGGAGGCCAAGGACGAGACGGGCGCCAAGCTGGGCCGCGAGGAGCTCACGGCCGAGGCGCTGACGCAGCTGATTGCCGGCTCGGACACGACGTCCAACACGTCGTGTGCGCTGCTGTACTGGGTGCTGCGCACACCGGGCGTGCTGGGCAAGTTGCAGCAGGCGATTGACGAGGCGGTGCCGGCGGGTGTGAGTATTCCGTCGTTTGCGATGTTGAAGGACGTTCCTTAGTATGTGCCTGCATTCTCCCATCAAAACCTCTCTTGGACGCATCCCTGCTAACTGCACAGCGTGCAATGGGTCATCTGGGAAACGATGCGCATCCACAGCACCTCCGCGCTGGGCCTTCCCCGGGAGATCCCGCCTACGAGCGGCCCCGTCGAGATCTGCGGCCGAGTGTTCCACCCAGGGGACATTGTGTCCGTGCCGACATACACAATCCACCACTCGACGGAGATCTGGGGGCCAGACGCAGAGGCCTTTGTGCCGGAACGCTGGGACCCGAAGCGGCTGACAGCGCGGCAGAAGGCGGCGTTCATTCCGTTCAGCACGGGACCGCGGGCGTGCGTCGGACGCAACGTCGCGGAGATGGAACTGACTTGCATCGTGGGCACGGTGTTCCGCAACTTCGACTTCCGGCTCGAGCAGGAGGGGCCGATGGAGACAAGGGAGGGATTCCTCCGGAAGCCGATGGGGTTGAAGGTGGGGTTGAAGAGGAGGACTGTGGCTGCTGTGTAGGCAAGGAAAAAAAAAACAGAAAAGCGATTATTCGCTGATGTCTTATCTTACCTGTCGAGATATATATAAGCAAGCAATGAGTGATGACTGAGTGAACGTGGACAATGAATCAGAGAATCAAGCCAGGCAATAAGTGAGAGAAAGAGAGAAGAGAGGATACGACAGGAGAGTGGAAAGGAAGTGATTGATTAACACTGACATTAACATTAACATTGACATTGACATTTCTCGTGTGTATTCGAGTGAAATAAATTCTTAACCATGGAAAAAAAAATCTGTCTATTTTTCCCCTCGCTAACCTAAGGTGAATAACTAGCTGTATCCAGCATAAGATGTGTGTATAATATAAACCTAAACTATGTAGGTATGTACATCGGGTTGAAGCGAAAGGGAGGATTACTAGAAAACATCGCTCGTAAGTTACCATCGTCCTCCAGTTTGTCTGTCTGCCATTATCTAATTGATCCAATGCAGATACAGAAACAGTGATTCCATTCAGAGGGAGGGAGGGGAGATCAATGAAAGTGCCTCTCTCTCTCTCTCTGTGTCCCTCTGTGGTAGAGGCATGTCTGTCCGTTAATCATTGTCATTCCAGCTCCTGCAATCGAGGATGGTGTCGATACAACTTCTGGTCCCTCCGCGGGAGTTGGCTCTGTTGATACGGATACGAGGACTGTGATCGAATCTGGTAATTCCCTTCCTCGTGCCAGCCCTGCTGGTCCTCCTGGCCTGATCGCACCGGAGTTGACTGGCGTTCTTCTCGATCTGCCACCGGACTCGGCAGTTCGGCTGGCCTTGGTCTGGGTAGGAACTGGGTTTCCAGCGAGGGATAGCGGTGATGTGGATATTGATACTCCACGCTGTGTCGGTACTCGAGGTTGATATATGGCTGGTTTTGCTGATATTGTGTCTGCTGCTGCTGCTGCTGATAGCCGTTCTGGGGATAGTACTGCTGACTGTAATACCGATAATGTTGGCTGTGATTGTTATTATACCACGAACGCACGCTATCCGGAGAAGCAGGCCTCTGCCCGGGCCACGAGTCATGGCGAGTGAAGGTATAATTGCCGTGTTTGCGATCGTCTCCAGTATTACTGCTCGAATGACTTGAATAGAGCGACGCTGGGCGCGAGTCTGAACCCGACTGCTGAAGATACGCACTCGTCGAGTCGTGACTCCTCGCATCAGCTAGATGCCTCGTCCTTTCCAGCAACCGCTCGACCAGCCCCGCGTGGGACTTTTTGAGGTTCTTCTTGACCATCCCCAGCAGCACCAGGCTGCACCGCAGATCCACATCCTCACGCAGATACAGGCCCTCCTTCGGGATGCGCAGCTTCTCCATGCCCAGCTCGACCGGGGCGCGCGGCTCGCCCGGCATGTTCCCGCAAACCTGCCATTTGGCCCTGATCTCGAGCCCGGCGGGCGCGTGGACGTGCGTCTGCAGACCCCGCGGAAGATCGTGGAAGCAGCCGTAGTAGGTGACGCTGCCGGACAGCAGGCCGCCGGGGAGATACGAGATGCGGTCCGTGATCTCGTACCAGGCGGCCTCGAGCTCGTCAGGGAGCGCCAGGGCCGGCGGCGGGTCGCAGCGGCGGTGGCTCGTGACGAGCGGGTTCAGCTCGATCATCTCGCCGTGCGAGTGGAGGATGTCGACGACCACGTCGCGGGGGACATAGGATGGAAGGGGGGTGATGTGGGTGAAGACGGAGCGTTTGAACATGACTGCATCTACGAACTCAGTGACTGAGTTGTAGACAAGAAATAAATAATAAAATACATGTAGAATAGAAAGCTCAGGCTGAGCTCTCATACATTCAGCTGATGACAATGCTGTGAGACAGCAATCATCTTGCGAAGCCGCTGCATGGCCAATGACAGTGAGCCAGCTGAGCTGTCTGGCAGCAATCCTCGTCAATAAACAGTTAGTTAGATGCAGCTAGCTGAGGCGGGCTAGTAGGTTGTTAGGGCTGATCTTGCAGAATCAGGTACCTACAGGCTGCAGTAATTAGGTGCCTGTTAAGGCTGAAATTACAGTGTAACATACTGTTCAGATTCAGAACTAGCTCTTCAACAAAAATATTTATTCAAGATGAAAATGACAATAGTTATATTGCATAATATACGAGGGGACTTTTATGAGAAAAATATTCAATTATAATTTTTCGATTTCTTTCTCTATTTCTTTCTTTCTTTCTTTCTTTCCTTTTTTTTGTAAAGCATAATTTTCACCGTTTAGGTACCTTTGATAGCTTTACTAGATATAGAACATTGTCAACCTGGCAGCTATGAATCATTCATACTATCTAGGGGTTCACTAGACGACCTAGGTTTTTCTTTTGTTGTGTCCCAATTTGTTTGACAAATATTATTTGCTGGTATTTATGTACTTAAATACAGAGTATCAATTAAAAATATCGCAATAATATAAAGGCACAAATCTCAGCTTATATATATTCCAAATAAAATCAACAACTAATTATGGGGTTTTTTTTTTGGCAAGACACTGTAGATATAATATAATTATACTATTATTTACTCCATGATCAATATTTTTCTTGAAGCATTATTATTGTCAAGCTGGAACTTTGAGAGATAGCATACCATAGGAGGACTAAGTATGTGCAGCTCTCTATCCAGCTGAGCACTTCTTTTTTTTTCTTTTCGTTTCGGTTTCTTGTTTCTTTTAGTCCATTCTCTCTGCTCTTCTCTCTCGTCTGTCTCGCACTCTTTTCTTTTCGTTCTCTCTTTTTTTCTTCCTTTTAATTTATTTCATACAGACACATGAAAAATAATGCATTTCCTGCAATATCATACATTGTCTATTGCTCTAGTCTCGTCTCGGAGAGTCCAAGCTCTACTATACCATGCCATTCTATACAACACAATGCAATGCAATCATCATCGACACAGCTGACCGTAATTGCAGTCATATCCGACTCGACTCGTCACGGCTCGCCACGACTCGACCGACTGGACTCAACTAAGTATAATACCCACCCCTCCGAACACCCCGTTTGGCATTTTCCACCTTGTCGGCCGCGCTCTGCTTCCGTCAGCACATCAAACACCACACACACAGACATAAACAAACAGTAGGTGTTATAGGATACATCCCTGCATCTGCGCCGCCAAACTCCCCCTCGGCACCATCCCACCTGTATATCTCGACTCCAACGACTGCGCCTCTGAGGCTTCTGCCTTGGTCACGTACACGGGGCCCGGGTCGTGGACGGCCGGCAGGCCCAGCATTTCGTTTCTGTCGGCGATGGAGCGGACTTGCGCGGATATAGATGCTGGGCCCGGGGGTGTGTTGAATGCGCGGCCCTGAAGACCACCAGAGGGTAAGTGACTCTGTGAGTTCATCGCAGGTGTGGTGTGTTTGTGTGGATAACGCACCTCAGCAGACTGGATATCCCTCGCATCCTTCCGCGTAATATGGCTCTGCGGCTTGCTCGCGAGCTCGTCGACCTTGGCGTCGAAATTCATCTGCTTGGAGGCGAGACTGTGTGCGGTGGCTGTATAAAAAAATCAGAATCAGAATCAACCTGAGGGTAATACCGGAGAGGGTACTACCTGCCGGACCACCCTTCACCGGACCTCGGCCCGTCATCTCGCTCTCGGCCTGCGCGATGGCAGAGACATCGGCCGAAGTGATGCGCTGGCCTGCTGCGACGGCGCGTTTGATTTCATTGACAGAGGGGAGGTCGTTGAGACTCATGTTTACATACAAGCCTAGTAGACGAGCGGAGCGAGTCGTTAAAGGCTTGTGTTGATATAAAAAAGGAAATAAAATGGCAGATAAATTAAGAAACAGTCGTAAAGCTCGTGTTGGATATCTCTATTCATGAACTTCACATCGGATTGATAAGAATGGATATTCAATACAAACAGCAAACATGCTTTGCTTGTGGCTGTGGGTGTTGTTTCCGGTGATGTCAGGATGAGCGATGATGCAGACAACTATGGAACGGTCTGGCAATCTGGTACCCAATCATTCACACTTAAGAGTAAGTTAGGAGTCTCTGCGATTTTCTAATCTGTACAATTAGGAACTTTTCTTTTTGTACGACAGATAGTAGAAACCCCAGAAGCTACCCTCCAACATGATAAAGTTTTGTCAAGGCTTCCGTCCATACACAAAGTAACATTTTAACATAGAGATGAATCGATCGATCTTTGAGCTCCTCGCGCGCTTTCGCCAACAGCGCCTGTATCTCCTCACTACTCCAGCCAAGGACGCGCGAAAACAGTGCTGGGGTGTAGGATTCGATTCCCTGGAACTGCGCGGCCAGGTGGAACGTTCCAATCTCCTTCATCTTGGGGTCTTTTGGCCAGGTGCCGACGGGAACCTGGAATATTCATTCGGCCATTAGCTAGTTCCTACAGGGCAGAAGAAGTGGGAAGGACAACCTTAACGACAGACTCCTTCACATCAACGAAGCCCGCCTTTTTCATCGCGTCCTTCCACGAGAGTGTTTTCTCGACGCTTTTGCCGAATTTCACCCCAGCCAAAGAGAGGTACTTTGTCAGTAAGTGGAGATGCTTGGCCTTTTTATCAGTACCATCATCAGAGCAGTAGCGAGCATAGGCACCGTCAAATTCAAAGTATCCCCCAGAATTCAGATGCTCAAAGGCTTGCTGGAAAAGCCGCTCTACGTCAGCGACACACCCCTCCAGCTCACGGCCGTGGATGTAGTCGAACTTGGTCTTGTATAGCCATTCCGTCTCAAAGTCGTCAATCTCAAATGTGCAGTTCGGAGGGACCCTGTTATGTGTCCATCCACGTCAGAGAATAGTCATTGTATTGAAGGTTGCAGAGGTATGTAGCTCCCTACCATTGTGGTTAGATAGGGCTCAAATCAGTGCCGATAACTTTCGCATTAGGGTATTCACTAAAATAGCATCAACGTTAGCAAAGACCCTGCGAATAAATAAAGCAGACAGCAGACAAGAATATTGCTCTTACTTAGCAAACTGGATGGCCCAGATTCCCGTTCCAGTACCGAGGTCTAGTACACGCCGAGGATTCCTGACCGGCGCAAGGCAAAGCTCTCCTCTTAGAAGGAGCAGGTATATGTGATGCCATATATCCATTCGGTCCTGTTCCTCTTTGTCGTTTGGCTAATTGCAGGATCAGTTTCGGTCCTCACAAGGAGTCGACGAGATATACCAGAATATAAGCCCCCTCGTGATATGCATGGTACCGACGGCCATTCTAGAAAAAAAATGTCAGTAGTTACTCGCAGGCATGTAGGTCAGGACTTACCTCGTATCTGTTAACAAATCGTAAACCATCTAGTTAGCATGCTGGTCGATGAAGAGGCGAAACTCAAAAGACAGCGAATGGCGCTTGTAGTCTCTGATGCTTGAACTGATAGATGTCACATAGCTAGCTGTATCAATGCTATAGCAGATCATCAGACAAGGCTGCAAATATAATCAATTACAGCTGGGTGTTTCTACTCACGATTCATCGTAAACAGAGTCTGTATCAGTAAATTCAACCTCCTGACTAATCCGTTTAGCAGGATACACCTTGCAGGCTTGCACAGGCGTGTCAATGCTTACATCCACTTCCAGGGCGTTCCCAACGGTAGCACTCGGAGCCATGCTTTCGATGTTGAACAACTTGACAGGGGTGGGCAGTCCAGCAAGTAGTACTCCGTAATTCTGAATGGAATGGATGCAAATGCAGATGCAGATGCAGCAGGCACGCAGGTACCAAAACTACTACTGGTGAGTGGTGACTGAGGGAGGGGTGCTCTATAAAGGAATCCGATTGCAGGACTACGTATGTACTGTACAGTACCTCGCTCTGCGACAACAATCAACACTAATTACCTAGCAGGGTAGTTGCAGATGGTACTTGCAGCATGCATCGCAAACGTGGATAAACCGCCAATCAATGGAATATGCTTTGGCTCGTTCTGTCTTGCTAGCTGTTAGACTGCGACCGGTCGCTGTGTCGGTCGCTTCGCTTGGGAAGCTGGTTTTTGTGTCCGAGTCATGCAAATTATGCACTGGGGGATATTTCCCCGCATAAGTTATAACAACAGTTTCCTCTGGCTGAGATGACCATACCATTATTGAGAATGTTTTTCACAAGTAGCCAAGACCGGTGAAGCTGTGCCACATACTCAATGCAGTAAGTGCGTTGACAGGGGTCGAGGATGCCAATGCATACAGTTGACCTAGTAAGTTTGTTAGTATGCACACATTTCTCGGAAGATAATTACTGAAATAGGAACTAACAGGGACGTCTCATGGGAGGAAATGACTGACATCTAATTAATAATATAGAATGGAGCAGCTCGAACTGCTCCAGCTTCTCCATCAGCCCCAGCTGCTGCCGATGCCGAACACACCGGACATGCAGCATACTGTTCAGGTAAGCGACTCAGCGATCCAGAGGGTCAGCTTGATCGTCAGGAACCATGGCGACGGCGCCCAGGCCGGCGACGGCCCGGGGAGAGGTCAAAGCGACGGCTGGCGCAGATCAGCGAGCGCAGGTCGAAGGCGGTGATGGCGCTGAGATAGAAGCAACAGCAACAGATAACAGTCAAGTGACTGGTAACTAGGTCATGCTGTCATGTGATCCAGAGCACATGCGGGTATGGACGACTACAAAGCTCAGTCGAAGAGGTATTATTAAGAGGGTAATTCTTCGGTAGTCGACGCTTGTATCATTACTGAGAATCCAGTGAATCTCACCTGGGCATATGGAGCGCTGCTCCAGAGACGGAATATATATTCTGGATCCATGGATTGATATTATATATAGGAGAAACTCGAAAGAGAACTCCGTACTTGGAAAAAGATTGTAATATGCGACGTTCGTCATCTAACCAAGGACATCATGCAAGTTCAAACAACCGGTATCTATCTATCTATCTACAGATCTCCTCCTACCACGTCTCCCCTTGGACGACAAAAAACCCAGACTTGCGCTTCTCCGCCTCCCAGCGCTCAAACCACGCCTTCATCTTCTCCCTGCTCTTGCGACTGCCCACATTCACCGTCGGGATGATGCGGCCAATCCGCAGCGCGCAGCAGAACATGGTCAGCTCCCGGAACGAGCTGTGCTCGCTGTACGGCACGCCGAAGCACGAGCTCTCCCGCGTGCTGCCTCGCTGCGGGACAAGGTCCTGCACGCTGAACGGCGTCTTCCAGTTGCTCGAATGCAGCACCGTCGACACGGGCGGATTGTCCAGGAGCCGTCCCCCGGGCGGCCGGTAGTTCCACCCCGTCGGACGGAAGCCGACGACGCGTGAAAAATGCGGTTTCAGCGACTGTAGGTACTCCGCCAGCGTGTCCGCCCGGATCTCGAACATGGTCTGCATGTGGATTTGGGCCTCCAGCGGGTCGTCCGTCAGTAACGACGACAGCTCCGGGTCCTCGAGACATGCGCACACGCGCTTCTTTGCTGGGGGCGCATAGATCTTGCACTTCAACGCCCGCGCGATTCCCAGGCAGATGCGCTCCTTGCCAATGCTGTATGTCCCGATCACTACCAGCAACCGTCCACCACGAGATGCCGACTGCTCCTGCCCTTCGTCCTTCGATTTATCCGTCCCCGCTTCGCTAGAGAGAAACTTGGTAATCGCACCGCCTCCTTGACCGCGCTTGTGGTAGTCGAGTTTCTCGTCGTTGTCGCAGTCCTCGCTGAGACGTGCACACATATCCGCACATGCCGAAATCACATCTTCCTGACTGGGAAACGCGTATTTGGGGTTGAGATAGGTGGTGTCCAGATAGCAGACATCGATCCGCTGCTGACGCGGTTTGCCAGTAGCCTCGTCCACAACTTCGGGCCGCAGAAGCGGGTGCTGAACGTGAGCCGGAGAGGCGCGAAAGTCGCCGCAATGCAGGATACGCTGCGTGCGAGGAGAGGGAGGACCCTTGACCGTTTTCTCAAACAGAAACAAGGCGCTGCCGGGACAGTGGTTGGCTGGTATCATGGTGACCTGCACCCCATCCGTCCCCGGCACCTCGGTTGTCTTCTCAAACTCGAGATCGACCACCCACTTAGGGTCGACCTTGAGCTGCTGGCGCACCAGATTGCCCGTGACCTTGCTGCAGTAGATAGGACCATGACGCCACGAGGCCGTAAGCCCGGCATAATGATCGCTATGAAAATGGCTAAGAAAGTAGGCCTGACAGCCCTCTACCGCCCCGTATCGAAAGGCATCAACACAGATGGAGAAGCCCGGAATGATCTTATAGAACGGACATGTACGCTCGTAGGCCTGCCTACCCCGGGATGCCGCTTCCTTGGCGGCAGCCGTCGCCCACGCTGTATCCTCGGCATTTCCGGCCATCAGCTTGGAAAAGGCAGATGTTTCCCCCGTAGCTCCAACGGTGAAAGGATTTCGCTGCGCAGGTCTGGCAATAGCCGCCTTCTCCGAGCGTGTCAAGCCCTTTACAGAGGCAGTAGGTTTACTCTTGGCTGGAATCGGAGTCGGATTTCCGTCTAAACATCCATTTACATGCACAGACGCTTCCTGGAGACAATCAGCAAGAAATGATGGCCAATCGAGGACTATTTACTCACGGAATCGGACAGTCCCCCAAGATTGGCCTTGCAGATTGGACACATGGGCACCTCGGGGCTCTGTTCTCGACATCCACCGACTGCATCACCTGCAAGATCCCCAGCTTGGTCATCTTCATCCAGTCCGGCCCCTTCCCCCTCCTCCTCCCCCAATGGGCCCTCCAGGAAATCCTCGCCCTCTAGCTCGTCTTCTTCTGCGTGTTCCAAGTCATCGGTCACTGCGTCATCAGGATCATCTCCGGCGTCGCCGGTGGCTGCTCTTACCAGTGAAGAAGACTTGCCGGCGATGTTGCGTTCCTCAGCCGCGACTGGAGTACTGTCCTTCGTCTCCTGCAGAACCGCAGGACGCGAGAAATTAGCATCGAATTCCCGTAACGCGGCAACGTCCTCATTCTCGCTGTCCGACTCATCAATAAAAGGGCCCTTGCGCTGTCGAACGACCGAATTCGCTCTTCCGGAAGGAGTCGGACTCTCTGTTTTGCGGCGTTTGACAGATCCTCCATTCTCATTGAACCTTTCTTCCTCTTCTTCTTCATTGTCCGATTTCGCGGGCTCAGCCTTGAGCGGGCTGTTCGGATTGCCCCAAAGATGATCATCCGGGGTCTTGGATCTTTCCCCAAAGAACCAGTCAGTGTCCTCTTCCTCCTTACAGATCCTGTCCGCAATTGAGGAAGCAGGGCGACGACTGTTCTCGTCCTCGAAGAACAACAACCCGGGACTCTTCTCTCCTCTGCTCAAGGTACGATTGCTGCTGCTGCTGCTCGAATTGCCGCCGCCATTCTTGCTGCTCCCGTTTTCAGACGACGGCACGATCTTGATTCCGAATTGGGTGATGCGGGGCTGCGTGGACTTTGGCGGGCCATCGGCCTTCTTGAAGAAATTGAGGATGCTCGCGTTGCGCTTGGTTGCGGTGCTGCTGCGTTTGGGGCCGTTGAACGAGGGCTTCTTCGACGCCGGCGTCGAAGCCAGGCTCGTAAACGAGCTCCCAGCCATTAGAGAAGAAGGAAACGAGGAAGTAGCAAAGTAGGAGTTGGTAGTAGTGGTAGTAGAGTTGAGTGATTAGGAAAAGACGGATCGGGAGGGTTTGGAGACCGGATAGTTGTAATGGAAGAAGATGAAGATTCTCTGACTGCTACAGAACATAGTAAATCATGGTCCCGACAGAGGGTGGCTGGGAGAAAACTTCTGAAGCGGGGCCCTCTGATTGCAGTATTCACTGGTCAGGATGGAAGAGTGAATCGCGGGCGCGAAGAGATCGCGATCCGAGTCGCGCAATCACGTGATGATAGTACATTCACAGGAAAATGCAATTTTATGCCAATTAGGTAGCGAGTTTAGAATTTTAGACTATGAAATCAGACTATGGAAATCGTATTGATTGACAATGGGCTCATTCACTGGCCATCTCAGGTGAATACCTCTAGGCTCTCATCCTGCCATAGGTGCCATTCACAGGCAACCACAACAGACGAATCAAGCGCTCCCATACAGCATCCCATTACTGGCAGACACCCTCTACCTGCCGACAGAGACGCATCATGTCCTTACGTCCTCGTAGAGCTCTCCAGGAAAAAAAAAACCATTCCAATTCCAAAGCTGGAAAGCAACAGTTAACTACCCCTAATTCTAATTACGTAAAGAAGACAAGCCATGCCGTCGTCCATGCTCTGTCGTAGATCAAGTGATGCCACCGTCAATTTTGTATTCTTTTTAAAAATTCATTACACGCCATTGTACTCCGTATTGCAAAAGATTATAAAAAAAAATCGAAACCCACTCATCGAGCCTTGCTTGCTTGGTTGGCAGCCTCTGCAGGGAAGAAGACCAAGTCAGCGGATGAAAATCAAGGAGATCTACGCAGCTCATATTCCACCAAAAAAAAAGCACATTGCCGAAACAAATTCGTTGCAACAGAATATCTCAAAAAAAAATCCAGGAACAGGACGAAGGGGCCTGGGAAAAAGGAGGAACATCGTAGCTCACCTCTCCTTGTCGCATCCTCCAGCAATCCCCGATCAACCTCCGACTGCGGCAGGACCACGTAGCGCACCACGCTCCCACGGATAAACATGTTCTTAACAGACGACAGATGCGGGTACTTGTCGAGATCGAGGACGTCGACGTCGTCCAGCTTGATGTTGAGGTACTGGTCGACGGACTTGAGGGTGCCGCGGATGCGGATGTCGTTCTTGAGCTCGACGGTGACGACTTGGTTGGTGAGGGTTTTGAAGAAACTGCGAGTGTTATTATACTGAAAAGTCCCAATAGAAAGATAGGTCGTTACCTGAAGAACAGCATTATGACGAAAGGTAGAGAGGGAGGTACGGCAAGCAGCGGGGAGAGATGGAGGCGGGGAAAGGTGAGTGAGAGAGGTTGGCAGCAGTCCCAGTTATCACAATCGCATTTCCTTTTAAACTTGTCGGCCGTGGTGACTCCGGCAAAGCCTGGCAACAAAGTCCAGGAGTAGATTCTCGAGCACACCCAGAATTGGAAGGAGAAAATAGTCCGTTCGTTGCTTAGAAAGGGCTTGCGGCTGGGATTCGGAATCCGACGATCGTTGTCTGTCGGTCACGTGATCGCTACTTCTACGATGCCATCAACTAAGACAATCTCGTCTTCAAGTCACAAGAAATATTCGTATAACTGCTTTATCGGAATGACTCTCGATTGGGTATCTGTATATCTCTCAAGGTATATGATCGAAAAATATTCCAGAATAAGCTCCCCAAGTCGCTGCCGTCATGAGCGACATGCAATTCATAACCAACAAAAAGGAGTGGAAAACTCGACATACAATCGTAGATCATGCAGCGACACATTCAACATCACATCACACGGGAATGAGAAATGTCATCATAGCGGGGGACACGTTAGAAGAATAGAATGTCGGTAAAAAAGTAGAGAGGGCAGTAATGACTTGACAAAAAGGATAATGACGACGGAAAGGAGAGAGAGCACTACGACTTAGCAGTCTCGTTCACAGCGCTGTGCTTGGCTGGCCTGCGTTTCGGCTTCATGGCCCACCCGCACAAGCAAGTCCAACCGGAGCCATTCTTGCGTCCTTCATCAAAGATGCTGCCGACACCCTCCAGCAGCTTCTTGCGCTCTCGACCCATCTCCATCTGGAGCTTCAGCATCCATTGCTCCCACATCCATCCACCGAGTAGCCCCGTCATGCTCGCCACATCCGCGGTGCTGCCCACGGGCCCGTGAACGGCCTCGTAGTTGGGGACCTGACTTGGCACGGTCGGATCGGGCGTTTCTCGGGGTGGATGCGACTTCACGGGCTCCACGCCCATAGGCAGGAACAACCAGGCTCGCTTGATGCCCACGAAGCGACTCCTCCTCATGCGAGCGAGGAATCTCTTCGTCGGGGCAGGGTCATAGCCGCGCGTCTTCAGGTTGAATGCGAACTCCACCGACGTTGCAGACCCGTAGGGCCCAGCACGAGCGATCTCCGCGTCCATCACGAAGAACTCCAGATAGCCACCGGGTTTCAGGCAGCGATAGCACTCCTGGAGACAGAGGTCAAATTCGTCCAGACTCTCTCCAATCGGACGCTCCGTCTTCAGCAGCGCATGCAGGGAGCGAGCGGAGATCACATCAAACTGATTGTCGCGGAAAGGCAATTTCCAGAGACACGAAACAGACACGCAACGATGGTTCGGTGGCCCCTTGATCGCGTCATTGACAACTTGGTCCTTGGTGACGACCGTGTAGATTTTGACATTCCGGTAGTCATTGGCAAGATGCCAGGCCCACCCGCATGCGGCTTGTCCCCCCAGGTCAAGGACCCGCAAGCGACGTTTTCCGGCTTTCTCCCGGCTATTTAGAGGCTGAGTCACCTTGGAGAGTCGTCTCGATGCAGGACTGGAGATGAGACTGCCACCATTCAAGTACCGCAGCGCCTCAGTTGCCCACATAGACTGACGAAGCTGAGCAAGCACCATCTGCTCTTTCTCAAGCTCGGCAAAGAAGGCCTGTTCTGCCAACACTTCGGCAGCCTTGGAGTTGCGTGGTGCCTGAGAGAACGGACCCGTGTATGCTGGTCGCTCCGGTCGAACCAGCTCGTACTTGCCCATCAGGCTATCCACATGTTTGTCGCGTAACGCGAGGCGCACAGATTGCACGGCGTCGAAGCGAATATTGCTATGGAGGAAGGTGTCCCGACGACGAGATCGCTGGAGCACGGATTGAAACCCCCTCCAGTAAATCGAGTCCTTGCTCGCGGGCGCTTGCGGTGGTGGGCTACTCGCCGCTGACTCTAGCGCATTCTCCGCGAATCGCACGGATTTCCTGGGGAGAGAGTCCGCAACAGATGGCGAAATCACCTTCTCTGCCTCAGGCGACTCAGCATTAGGCTGAGCTTTGTTCGCGGGGTTTGTTTCACGAAGGGCAGCCAAGTAGGATGCCTGCGCTGCCAGCCAGACACTGGTTCGGTCCAGGTTCGCAACGGCCTGCCGTTTCAACTCCTCCTCATAGGACTCGTCATATTCATAGGTGACCCCAGACCGATCGATTTCTTGGACAGGATCTGTTCCTGAGCTAATAGGACTATCATTTTGATGCGATTGTCCGTTTTCCGGGTCCGAGGAAATCCTGATCGCCGTAGGTGGTCCACTCGAGAGCGGAACCGCCGTAGGTTGTTCGTCCGCGCAGACGTGTTCTGGACACTGCACAACTTGCTCGACGATTTCTCCTTCATCTCGATTCCAAGGCACGTTGTAGAAACGTTCCGCGACTGCCGAGGATGGAGGATTGTTGGCGTCTGGGATAGCCCACGTACGACGCGCTCTCGGAGCCAAGGACGAGAAGAAATCTCCGGGAGATGGGATGCTGAGATTGGTAAAACTGTATCCTGAGAGCTCAGAAGAGGGTGTCGCGCCATCCGCGCTTCGTGGACGGCTAGGAGGTGCCGACAACTGCTGCATCTCGTCGTTCTTCTCGGACGTTTCGGACCATGGCTCAGGGGTGCCGTCAAGCGGGATATGCTGAAGGGTCGCCATTGCATCGGGAGGAAGCATGATCCCATCTGCATCTGCCTCTGGGCTCTGCGACCGGGCAGAATCATCCGCGAAGACGATGGGGATCGTTTCCGTGGTCTCCTCCTCCCCGCGAACCGGGATCCGGGGAAAGCTTTCCAGAAGAGGATTCCAGTTATCATCCGCCGCTTCGATGGCGAGCTCGCCCTCTGTCACCATGCCCGTACTCGACTCATCGGCATTGCGCGTCGCCTCCGAGTCCGGGAGAACGCGAATCGGCTGATCGTCCCACTCAAGGTCAGAAACCGCCTGAAGCTCCGGTGTGGGAGGTGCGCTCATATTCGAGATCTGGTCTGACGACACACTCCCATCAAGGGAGGGTGGCGCATGTAGCGCTGGCACAAATCGCGGCAGCCTTGACAGCGCCGCCGGCGAGACAGGAATCTTTGGAGGCGGCGTCGGAGGTACGGGAGAGCTCTTATTGGGGGTGTTGAGGGACGGCCAGAGCGTGTCCGAGGGAATGGTAAGACTAGGATAACGATTGCGACTGTTGGAGGAGTAGGTTGAGCCCCGGACTGATGTGGTCGCGAGACTGGAGGGACGACTGCTGGAGAGAGAAGGACATTCCTCTCCAGACTCGTCGTCGGTTGCATCATAGAGCTCATCGAAGCTCCGCATCCCACGCTGCCATTCCTGATCCGAGCAGGACGACAAGGAATCTGTCGACACTGGAGTCGACACACGATCGACTTCTTCCTTGGACGCAGCCATGGCTACCTTCCCCTGGTGGACAGCGGGGTTAGTGGTAACCGTCAGGCGCGAATGGCTCCCATCGTCCTCGCCATACTGCGCCTCTCTCGTATCTTCGATTATCGTATTAAGCACTGTCCTGCGGGCCCGCCGCGGAGGTGAAGAAATTGCCGTACCCAGACGGTTCTGCGTCATGGTGATACCAGATCACTCGTAGCAGCTCGTGTAGATTAATAATAAATAAATCAATAAGTTGGAGCAGATATTGCCTTATTCTGAACAGGATATGCTTCGAAACAAGAACAGAAACATATACAGAAAACGTCTAGGGGTATCTCAATTGCATTGCATGGCGATCCGATCAACGGATTCCTTCTTTGATCCAGCAAAGAAGGCAGAAAACAAGACAAGAAAAAAGCAGAAATGAAAAACAGCAGCAACGAAAATCAGAACAGAAGAATGCAGTTGTCTGGCAACTGGATGGTCCCCGCGAGATATAAAAAGATATCAGGGCCTTGAGGTCGATCATGGCCCACCCCTCCACGTGAACCATCACGGCGGAGCTAATGCAGCTGTGAGCAATCCGATATAGAAACTGGCAGTCACATTGGTCTGCCATTGGTGCAGTGTGTCCTCAGCGTGCATGGGCAGCGCGAAGCCTGCAGGCCTGCTGGATGCTCACTGGACATGGGGCTGTCCAGGCATCCAATGGTCGCAAGGCAACAAAACACAAGAACCAGCGGCGTTGCGCTCTCCCAGATTTGGTGGGGAAGCACAGACAGATGGAAGTTCTGCAGGCGTGAGGACGACGCGGATTGGCAGGCTGCAAGCGCCGTGTTCTATCTTTAGAGGTGCCAAACACCCCCCAGTAGCTTAATCTTGGGCATCACAGATGGACAAGAATCCTGCAGACATCATCGATAGGTCCATTGCGAGAAAGCCATGACAGCGAGCGCGTAGTGCAGTCGAAGGGATTTGTATGATTATGATTATTTTCGAGCCACTGAGGAGAGGACGGCACGACGAGGGCGCGAAAGCCGGCCGGAGGACGCGAGGCCTGCGACGACCCTTACCCAGAAGGGGACGATCACCTGACTGCCAGCCCTAGCCCTGACTGCCGTCCGTTCCGGGTATAGCGCGCCAGCGCAACGGTTCTCGAATCTCGATTTGGCGCATCGTGAGATTCCTTAGAAGTCTTGAACAACACTAGCACAGACACGGTATTCCCGCGTCTTCACGGGGCGTGCGGGTTGTCCTGATATGTCATTCTGCGTGCCGGGAGCGAGGGGCATCTCCGCGCCCCTCTTTACTCCGTACAGATTCCTCTGAAGGGAAGAATTACAGCAAATAGCCATGCGGGGAGAAGAGATGCTGCTATCTGCCAATGAATGGTTTCGAGCGAGCCACGCATCGAAGAAGTAATAATACACTGGGATAGAACTATCATGCAATAAAATAGACTCCTCCATCGAATCGCCAGCCCTAGCCCTTATCACGGAATGATGATATCAGGGTGGGTTGGATGGATGGATGTCCGCTGCGCTGCGCTGTTTGGTTTTTCCAGAACAGCAAAGCGATGGATGATTCCAGACCGCTCGCGCTGTTCTCCGGCAAGCCTGGCAGAGCGGGCCGTCATAAAACTCGCCGTTCCCAAACCTCTTTTCCTTCCATATTATATTATACTCTGTTGGTTGTCAGTCAATGAATTAATTTCTATCCGCTCGCTCCAATTCATTTCATTTCTCCTTTCCTCCTTCTCCAACGTCCACTCCTCTTGGCTTCGTGCCCGGCCCACCCCCTCGCCATGTCTCCACCAGCGATCATCGCGCCCTCCATCCTCAGCGCCGACTTTGCAAAGCTCGGTGCAGAATGTGCCGTGACGATGGAACGGGGCGCGGATTGGCTCCATGTCGACATCATGGACGGCCATTTCGTCCCCAACATGACCTTTGGCGCCCCCGTCGTGACCAAGATCCGGACGCATGTCGAGCGGCCTGCCCAGCCGGGTGGCCGGGGCACCTTTGACTGCCACATGATGATCAAGGAGGTATGATCAGCTGGGACAGACAGGAACTCCTTCCTGGCTGAAGATGCTTTTTTTAGCAGAGGCGCAACGGGGTGTGATGGGCGGGGATCTGGAATTGCTCGTGGAGAATGATGATCGGAGGGAACCCAAACCCGAGCGCTTCGCCGCTCTCCATGATTCGACGACTGCCAGCTTCCCTTCCCCCACACACCTCGAGGCGCCTGGACAACAAAAACCACTCAATCAATGCCAGTCTCTGAGGAGTAAGACTTGCTGACTCTGTGACTCTTCTCTCTGCAGCCACAACGATGGGTCAAGGACTTCAAAGCCGCCGGATGCGACCTCTACTGCTTCCACTATGAAGCCGCCATCTCATCCGTGGCCGCCAAGGAGCCGGCAGAC